TGGGTTCAGGAACATGATCGGTAATGACGAAAATGGAACGACAGTTCTGTAAAACTGAAACGTGTGAGAAAAAAAGCATTGAGAGATGCATGCTTGTAATTACACTGAGTGACAGAAAGATGAACACACTCATTAGAGAACATACAAAGGTTAGAGACATCATTCATACTGTTAAGAAATATAAGTGGGCTTAAGCTGAAAAACGTTGCTTGACAGGATGATAGTCCATGGTCAAGAATAATGATGGAGTGGCTGCCAAGGAATAAAACGCATCCAAGTAAATGTCTACTCATCAGAACGAGCAATTAAATGAGCAGGTGCTCGGTGGATTAGTACATCACATGACCAAAAGAGATGGCTGTAGGTTGGGGAGGCCTTCATCCAGCAGTGGATTGACCATGACTGATGAGCACCGATTCTATTTGGCATCACAAGCAGTGGTGCTAGGATGGCTTGTAAATATGTTTTGAAACACTGTGCAATACAATACTGTACCACGTGCTTTAAGGATTTTAAAGACTACACTTGTAAATTAGAAGTTTCTGAATTCGAAAACTGATTAGGAACACTGCAGTAAAGACTAGTACATTTAATACCATACATGGTTTAATATTTCATATAATTCCTCATAAGCTTTAGCTAAACGTATTCGAAATAAAATCGGCTTAGTCATTTTGCCGAATTAAAATAAGTGTGCTAAATATGAAACTGGATCACTGCCACGGTGAAACATGCAGTGTGGCATTAGTTTTTTTACTCTACACTCAATAAGGGCCTCCTCCCCACCAACGTACCAAGAATGGCTGCATTTTTTATTTTGCCTGTGTAGTGGTGATACGCGCTGGGATTAGGGATCGTATGCCAGCGCGTAATGATTGGCTGTGTATGTGGTGACGCGCGCTGACGGTGGAGGATCAGGGGTCAGCGCGGGGTCGTGGGTTACGGGGTACTGATTGGCTGTGGGCCGGTGACGCGCTGAGAGGGAGTGACCGGGTGGCAGCGCGGTGTGATTGGTGGAGTAGTGTTAACACGCGCTGGGGAAAACGGATCGTAGAGAGAGTGCGTCGTGATTGGTTCACTAAGGAGCGATGCTCACGTCGACGTCCGCATCAGCTCCGTCTCTCGTGAGCAGGGGCTATAAAAGGGGATGCACACAGGCGTAAGGGCAGTATGTAACCAGCGAAGAATGAAGACGGGGATGAAGACATAGGGCCCTGCGGTACCTAGTCCCGCTGTCCTAACGGGACCGGGACTCTGTGTAACCCAGAGGCGAGTGTAGTGTGTGTAGCCATAGGCATAGAGTCTACACGAGCCGAATGTATTGTGGGTAGCCAGAGGCATAGGGTCTACACGAGTCAAGTGTATTGTGTGTAGCCAGAGGCATAGGGTCTACACGAGTCAAGTGTATTGTGTGTAGCCAGAAGCATAGAGTCTACACGAGTTAAGTGGAGTGTATAGTCCAAAGGATAGAGACCACCCGTTGTATTGTGACACGTCAAGATTTAATAAAAGTGTGTTACCCGTCAAGAAGTTCCTGCCGTCAATTCCAATACTTCACCTGTAACCTTTAAAATATTTAGCTTTAAAATCCTTCGATTTGTTGCATACAGTAGAATTACGAACGACACTTTTTTTACGCGATCTAACCCAAAAAAAACCTGTATTATGAACAATATCAATTTTAAATGTATGTCCTTTCACGCACACTAATTCACAAGTTATTTATGGACTTTTTTATATTCACGTTACAGTACTTCACAATGTACTCTCTTACCCAGCCCAGAAGCAGCAGTTTAGCAAAGTGGCTTGCAAATTAGAAGGTCGAGAGCTCAGATCTCTCTTTTGAGGTTCACTCCGTTCATCATCCCAATTGGGTCGATGATAATGAGTGCTCTCGTGTGAGGATGTCAAGAGTAGTCGTCTCATGGAGAGATTCACCTCCATCGTAGTCACGTGGAATGTCCACCACTGGCTCAGGGATGTAAGTGGGAGATGATCACTGCCTAAATGATCATCTGAGCAAGATATCGCTTTGATTTGAGAGACTGTTAAAAAAAGGCAACTTCCATTCTCTCCCTTTTATAAATTAGGGTGGGGGGGTTATGGTTACGGTTGTGATTCCGGGGGTTTGTGGTTATAGATGTCAAGTTATGAATTGTGTTGGGAATAAACTTGCATTGCCGTGAGTGCGTGACTAGCCGCCCAAACTATTTAGATTAAATATCTTATTTAAAGCGAGGTTTGTGAAACTTTGAATTATGTTAGGAACATATGGGACGTGCCTCAAGTGCACAATGGTTTCTACCAACGCCTGGCTGCACATGTGGCACTCATTTGGCCCAGAATACTGTATCCGGCCAAACAATGTGACGCTTCAGACTGAGAGCAGGCACTACAGTACTTAGTCTCCTGATACAAAATGAGACTAAACTTATGCATTACAAACGCGTTGCAATGGATATTGTAATTACGTTTCAATGGATATTGTTCGTGCAGAGCCAATTGCATACAATACAATACCAGCAATGACACGGGAAATAGTCCTAAACTTCGAGCTTTACATTTCTGGTGTTGGTACCAACTTGAGCCCTTGGGCTGCATTCAATTTGAAATCCAGAGGTCCCTTCTTTGATCTCCCAGCACGGGATGTTAAAACAATGGATAAATATCTCGATCTCCCAACGACCTGCAAGTTAAGTGCAGGTGGGGCAAAGTGTGGGTATTGCAACCTCTTAAAATATGTCTGGTCTCCGTAGAAAAGTAGGCCAAATGCCATATCGAGGGGGCTCTCTCGGGCTCCCTCTAGTTAAGGCCCTTCCGCGAGCAGTGGCGGAGAGTCAGAAATTGCAGGGGCTGCACCTTTACCTATTAATTATATATCAGAAGTGCTCCATGAACAAGCTAAAGTGCAGCTAACAATACTACCCTGCGTGACGTTTTTGGTAAGGGTAACAATACACAGGTAACAAATCCATCCAGTGCATGTGACTCAAACGGAGAACTATTCTTAACGGGCACCCAAAACAGCTACATTCATAAACATGCACATGATAACATTCGGCCTAACAGCACATCCCCTGTGGGACTTTGTGGCATCCACGGTTAACACCTCCACTTCCCTCCACTCTCGTTTTGTTCTTCCTGCTGCTGCTGCTACTTTTATTTGCATCTTCTCTTTCATGCCGTTCTCCCATATGGTTGACCGGCTTCCCCTACTCTTTCAAGCACACCTTCCTCGTATGATCACCTTCCATAAGGCTACTACTGGCTCGTCATAATAATCCCAAAGTATCTCAGCTTTCTATGGTGGACATCCTCCCAGCAGTCTGGTTTATATTTGCACTTTTTCCAGTACCGACTCATTTGTCCTTCTTGCCATTCAGGGAGTGCAAAGTATGCACTTTTAGCTGTGCATCTTTAATTATTGTATCCTTGCATTATTATTGCCCAAGATTCACATTGTACAATTGGGAGACCCGTTACATTTAGAACACAACAACTGCTTTTCCTATGCATCAGCTTCTATTTAAGTGATATGCCATAGGTGACAATGTGAGAGATTAATTATGGATCCAGGCAAAAACTAGCGGCACCGATGCTGCCCGCTACGAATAATTGGCTCTCAGGGGATTGAGGCAGCCTTCAAGGTTCACATTGACTCGTTAACAGTTATAATAACCACGACATATGGTAGTAGCTGCTCTCAACCAAGCTGACAGTGTGTAAAACAACCAATCTCATTTTTTTGCAAAAATGCATAACCCAAATTAAAAGATTTACCACGTTATTTTAAAAATATATATGTTGTCTCCACAGTCATGGTTATGTTAATGATAGGGTAGCTCACAAAGAGGGGGCAACTGCATCTCCTGCGTGTTACATGACCGGTTATTTTAAATCTCTTGACCAAACCTAAAAATATGTGGACAGCCATTCTCCAAATGCCCATCCACACCCACAAGCCATCCATCCCCGCACCAGCCTACAGTCTTCACTTTCTCCCACACTCAAGCTCGCAACTCACGACCAATGCATATAATCAACGGGACTCCCCATTTGTTCTGCTCAATTAACCCTGTTGACTTGGAGATGCACTTGATCATTTGCAAGTCACCATGGGGCACCAGGGCTAGATGCCAGAACAGTCATAATGTTCAGCGTTCTGGCCAGACCCATCTGTTTTCATGCCACACATATGGTATCTTTCTGGATAAATGCCTGTGTGAATCGATCACTCCCAACTGCGCCTTTTTTGCCTTTTGATTTATATACTTTGTAAGCATTTATTTTCCATGTGTATACACACACAACACTGCAATTTTCATACTTTCATAATATTTTCCCCACCATATTGTTGTTCTCCGGCAGTTTTAACTCTTTGTAGAATCTCATGCGTTTTCACTGGTGTGTTATAGCATGCCACTACACTGATTTACAGTGCCATGACAAAGCAATTTGGTTTACGGTGAGAGCTATGATGCGAAATTCAGAAACAAGACAACAATTTAAACGCGTAGGCTTTCGTGACCAATATTATTCGTAATAAAGGTTTTTGGTTGAGATCGCGTAATGTTTAGATGTGTTATAACCCTCCACCACCCATAAGTTTTGTCACGTAAACAACACACACTTAGTTACTACTTCAACCTGAACCCAAAACCTTTATTACGAACCGGACAAGTTGATCACATGGACTACGCAGTACGTACAACATATTTAGTTGCGGCTGAAATGTTTATTTAAACGTAAAAAAAAACAATACAAGAAACATTGTTACATTATCACAAACCACGAAGAGTTAAAAGGTAACAATGTCATTAACACCTTCAGTAGGAACCCACATTTTTCAACAAATCAAATTGCACGAATTAAACAACGGGTTAAGCAAACACCCAACCACGGACGTAATTTATCCACGAGGTCTCTGTTAATTAATAACAATTTGGCATGCAATTAACGCCGCTCTCTCTCAAAGTTTAGTGATGTCCAACCATAGTTACCTGTGGTTGCTGCGGATGAGATTAAAGCAGCAGTAATCCGTCGACAAGCTGTACACGGGTGGCAAATGCGTTGAAAGCACGGGCACTTTGGCTGCGTTAAAAGTTGCCAACTCCGGCTCTGACTCAGCGAGCGACTTAAGCCTAAACAACAACTCTTTTCACCGTTGTACACCGCTAACACTTGGGGGTATAGTTGCTGTGAGCTTGACTGTGGATGTGGATGATGATGATGGCTTAGCTCGGAGACCGCTAGTTTTTTTCAGCCCAGCAGGAAATCACCACCTCCCCCACACCCAACCCTGCCACTTCCTGCCAGCCCCGGACCATGTGAGGGCTGGGAGGAGAGAATTGGGATGGGGTAGTGGCAGTGTTACTCGTAAGTTAGTGGTGGTGTGAGTGCTTCTAGAGTGACATTTATTCATATAACGTGTTTGAAGCAACAGCTGCTGCTCCCTGTTGCTACTGCTGTGGATGGTGTTATCGATCCCATCGATTCTACGACTCGTGGTTCTTTCTGCATCTAATAAACAAACACGTTTCCCATGTTAATTTTACAATAGATGGGTGGAAGGATTGCTCTGTGCATGGATGCTTTAAGAAAAGCTCCTGAACATTCTTCAGTTTGAACCCCAACACATTTCCCCAAAATCTGTAAGTAGCATGCAGATATCAATCACAACTGGAAGATATGTTTTTATATCACAAATGTAAATTGAAACGAAAATCCCAACCTACATAATTCACTAGCCATCGCAGTTTCCCTGCTTTAATTTATCAATAAACTATTTTTTTTCAATGAATGTGCAGCCCAGCATTTATTTATTATAATGGATGTACAGTGCGTTAACATTGTGTGTTAAAAATACAATTCACGCAGGGCGTTAATTGTATTTTGTGTTTTATTCCGGAAAAGGCACCAGACGTGATATGAGTAAGGTACAGTATTACTGAAGTACGGTACTGCTCCCTGACCCCTCAAGGCCTACACACCAATCCCCTTGGCATGCATTAAATCTGCCTGTGCATGTAGTTATAAAGGGACATGCCACTCGCATATTAATAGCACCCTTGTGGAGTCTCTGCCAAATGTCCAGGGTACTTTTATTACACGAAACATGTAACCTGTGCTCCTGGTTTGTTATTTCCTGCGCGTGGCTTCAATGTGTAATAATATGGACTTAACAATGCAAGAACATGGTAATCTCTCACTGTACGTTATCATATTCATAATATGCATGATCATGTTCGTAATCTGGTGGTAATGATTTTTTTTGGTATATTAAACGGTCGGCAGGGCCCATGTGTTGGCAGGGTCAAATATGGGTACTTGCACCTGTTGTAAGATATCTGGCCAAGATACCCAAGAAGACCTTCTTTCACCAGCGTGCAAGAGTAGGCAAAAATACCCTTCCACCAGCAGTGACGTGAGCAAGCAATTGCATTGCTGCACCTTTACCACCTTTATATTTCCTTATAAGAAAAAAATGCATGTTGGTTGAAATCATATTTTTAGATCGGTAAAATGTTTCAAGGCAGGATATGCACAGACAGTACTCAGCATTTTTACTATTTTGACTACTTTATCCTTCAGATTTGACACTTAAAGTGACTTCTGGTCACGCAGCAAGTTCCTACTTACCCTAACATTGAGACTAATGTCCGACATGTAATAGTCAAACCAATATTTGTTTTTATTCTCAAAGTTGTAATTAAGACAAGAAAAAATGTAGAATCAAATTGAATGCATTTTTTTAGAACTGACAAAAAAGGCAGGGATGTCTTACATGTCTTTTAATCCATCACTTTGGAGATACAATAAGAAATTACTCTGAGCAAGATTTTGACTGCCAAGTATTTTATCTGCCAAAAGTAGCCAAAATTATCCATCGTGATGTCTGCAAACTTAACCAATCTATCAACGGCACGAGTCCTGATGACTGCCAGAAACAAACCTGAGCTTGTGTGTGATAGCATTTTTCAGTATAAACCTAGATAGATCAAGCCTCCAAGAGCAGTTTGTTGAAGGGAAGCTGTGCCCACCTGCTTCCGCTGACCATCTCACAACTTCTGGCTTGCAATACTATAAAATCTAGACAAATTAAAACAGCAAGCTGTAAAATAACAGAGCTAGAGACACATCAGACCCATGTTGAAACAAGAACATGACTGTTTGAGTTGTTTCCCCTACGATTGTGTGCTTAGACATTGCCAACATTGTTGTGTGTGCCATGTGCAAAGATGATGGTGCAGTCTTCCCTTCAAAACTTGCCAAGAAGGTCTTCTTTTACCAATGCCTGTTGATGATAATGTTAACCATAATATGAATCCACAACAGTGACAGACTCATTCCCATGGCTGCAGGAACTTCCTTGATGCAGCATTTAACAGCAGTTTTTCAAGTCAGAGCCTGGGAAATGGCAGTGATAGACGGAGGTGTAGAAGTGAAGAATATAATGACGCCTATGCCAGCAACTAATACTAATGTGCCTCCTAAATCTCTGAAGATAAAAATACGTTTGCACCACCTGCAGTTGAACCTGTCACACCTGAAGTGCTCATTCTACCCAACGCATGCATCATCATCACCAGCCATGGTCAATCCACTTCTAAATTAAGGCCTCCCTAAACCACCACCATCTCTGACAATTCTGCAATGTAGCAATCCACCGAGAATAAATTAAATCTCCTTGGCGCCCAATACTTTAATCTCTTGGCGGACATCTTCTTCGATGCATTCCATTACTTGGCTGCAATTTTCTTAATATCCTTGATCACCGGTGCCCAATGGTTTCGGCAAAGAAGATGAATGGCTCAAACATCTGAGGCAGATAGTTGTAAAACCATAACTTGACAAATATAACATTTTATCGTTGGCAGCATATCTTCACTGGGCCCACCGTGCACAGGTTCCAGAGCAACTATTGCTGTGCTACTATCGTATTTTTGTTTCTAGAGAATGCAATCAGTTACTGCGTTCCATGAATGTGGCCCAAGGCTGTTGTTAATTACCCGAATCCAAACAGTTTCTAGTGCTTGTAATGGATTAACCACTCTATGCTGTTGCTAAAAAAAGCCAGTGAAACTCTCCGGACACACGTGAAGAAGACATGTTCCTCAAAATGGTTTATGGACTGCTTATTAAAATGGCAGCATTTAGGATCCGAAGAGATGACTGTGTAGGTTTTCGTAGTTTTGTTGTAAAACTTTCCGACGTGCTTTCAGGTTGTACCACGTGTTGTTCGGCATGATGTTCAACGTTTCACTCTACACGCTGGGATCTTCAGTTCACACAGAGGTTCCCAGCACGTGGAGTGAAATTTCGGATATCATGCCGGACAACACACGGTACAACCCGAAAATACATTGGGGCACTATCTTAGAAGACCAGCTTGCAGACGGTGGGTGTACACATGCCATGAGCGCTACTGATATGGCTCGAAGTGAAGTAAGACATCTCCCTGTAACAAGGCATGCCCACCAGATAACAGCAGCTGCCCTCTTCATGCTGCACCATCGGGAATATGCTAATTACATGGAAACTGTGCCAAATGGAGAAAAAATACATTTGGTGTTCACAGCTTGCTATAAGGAAATGTCAGCTCAACAAGCCCAGTTTAAACATTGGTTGATTGCACTAGAACGAGAGCTGTGCATACTAAAGCAATGCGAGGAGCACATTTTGCAGAGTGTGTGGAATCACTGGCCAAGATAACGTTGTGGTTGGTTTACCTTTGATCACATCAGCTACGCGAGGTGGCTGTCAGCCCACACGAGGAAGACTTCCTTTATGTGTTCTTTATTAGAAAATACACTCAGCTCTATATCATGAGCTTTGTTCTGGACAATTTGTGCCACACAAGACAAAGTGGCATTTCTCTTGCTATGGCTGTTGGATCGGGCACATGAGCGAGTCAAACGCCCGAGTGAAACGAGAAGGAGGAGGTGTATTCGCAAGGACATACAATCCAATAGCACTTAGATAATGGGCGATTGATAGACCAGAAGCAGCACAAAAGAGCCGAGAGTTAGAGAACAATACTCGCAACAACAACGAATCACAAAATATCATGAACAAGTATGAAGTGTCCAGGCGTCGTGTGTAAAGGAGATTAATGATCGCTCTCGTCACTGTTTCTGAGTACATGGGAAACCCTGTCATGATGTACAGTGAAATATCACTGAGAAATGTCAGCGCTATCACTGAGAATTTGATATTGCATTAGATTATACAAGACGTAGTGATGTAGTGAAAATATTGGTTCTATTAGGGCTATTCAGTGGCAATAAACACTGTAGTGTGTTTGGGTTGCTTATTACCCTGGTCAACCAGTTTGGAGTATGTAGTTGGTTTATGCTTATTTAATATAATACCGCAATAGACAATGACTAAATGTGTTCATGTTATTGTAACCTTATCGACAATTAATGAGCAATTAAACAGTTTTGATATATCTGAGTGTTCCAGCGAAATGCTTTGCAAAACATTCAGGTTCCTAATTGGACCACTAGGAGGAGCGTTGGTGGTGGTTCCAAATCAAGTTCAAGTTGAATGTTTAGGGCATATTAATATAAATATTCGTGCTAAGTTTCATGTTTGTAACGGTTTTGGCCATATCCTTCACTTAATCACCATGCTAGAGTTTTTGACTCATAAACGGAAAGTTAAAATCGTGCTCAAGGATACACACTTTGTATTTTCTCTCAAAGGTCATGAAGTAATAATAAGGGGTATTGGAAGTGCAGTGGTTAGCGCCCTGCGACATGAACCTAGCGACCCGGAAATGATGTTTCAATGGCGAATTGACATCTGAACCAATCCTCACCTCTCAACCTTCATTAACCCGCACTGACAATTTCCATGACCCACACAAATGGGAACGAAGATTTTCCACCAACGGCATAGAATTGCCAATCTAAATTTCCAAGTACTGTACACAATTTCAGTTTTTGTAAGATAACAAAATGTGTCCATAATAGAGGGTTTTGGGCTAGATCACATAAATAGAAATGTGTCGTAAAACCCACCACCACCCGATACAACCAATTAGTCAGGTTTGTCACGTTAACAAAAATGCTGATTAGTTACTAGTTCAGCACACCGGTGTGTTGGAGAGTAAACCCACAACATTTACAATTTATTCGATTTGTAAATATATTGTAGTTGTGGTTTTACTCTCCAACACACTGGTGTGCTGAACGAGTAACTAATTGATACGCTTGTTTACGTGATAAACCTTACTAATTGGCTGTGTTGG